AGTGTTTCTTAAGTTTTCTGGTTAAAACTGGTTTTGATTTGGCAGACTTTGGAAAATGCAGTTCATACTCACACCACTCTGGGTACTATGACTTTTAACATATTTTACCAATGTTCAAAATACAGGTAGCCTTCACATTTCATGCACATCTTGTAAGTGACTTTGGGTTATAAATACTTGTTTACTGATTTAAAGAAATATATAATAATCTTCTGCACATGTTAAAAGTCCAGTGGGCATTCAATATATTCAGTAAACAAAGCTCTTCCTCAAAATTTTTTAAACTTAACCAACACAATAAACTTTAGAGAATGATAATGAATCACACAAGTTGAATAGTAGAAGAGAGACAAAGAGGCTTATTGGTTTCTTCAAACATCATAATGAGATGTGGGATTCTCTCTGCCTCCTTCTCCCTCCTCCCAATGTTAAACATTGCAATTATAAGAGGGCTTGGAATAGATAGTATTCTAAGGAGTCCATATGGTGTAGTGCAGGGGTCGGCAACCTTTCAGAAGCGGTGTGCCAAGTCTTCATTTATTCACTTTAATTTAAGGTTTCACGTGCTGGTAATACATTTTAATGTTTTTTAGAAGGTCTCTCTCTATAAGTCTATATATTATATAACTAAACTATTGCTGTATTGTAAAATAAATAAGGTTTTCAAAATGTTTAAGAAGCTTCATTTAAAATTAAATTAAAATGTTGATCTTACGCCGCCGGTCCGCTCAGCCCCCTGCTGGTCTGGGGTTCTGTTCACCTAGGCCGGCAGTGGGCTGAGCAAGGCCTGCGGCCCAGATCCTGGCTGGCCAGGGTCCGGCAGCCAGAACCCCAGACCGGCAGCCAGAACCCCAGACCTGCAGTGGACTGTGCAGGGCCGGCAGCTGGGACCCCAGACCGGCAGTGGGCTGAGCGGCTCAGCCCGCTGCCGCTCAGGGGTTCCATCCGCCGGCTCCTGCCAGCTGGGATCCCAGCTGCCGGTCCTGCTCAGCCCGCTGCCAGTCTGGGGTCCCGGCCCTGCCCACCTACAGTGAGTACCTACCTTCTCCCTGGTTCTGGCCCCTTCTCTTCCTCTCTCTCTGCACTGAGCTGAGAGTGGGAGTGCACTGAGCACAGGGCTGGGGGTGAAGGAGCAGGCTGGGGGTTGGGGTGTAGGGTCTGGCCAGGAATTAGAATGAAGGAGGGGGCTCAGGGTTGGGGCAGGAGGTTTGGGTGTGGAGCGCTTACCTGGGCAGCTCCCATTTGGTGCGAAGAGTGCAGGTGGAAATGTGTTGGGGGGGTGCAGGAGCTCCCGTTTGGTGCTCAGGGTGGGGCTGGGTATGTGAGGGGGGTGCAAGAGTCAGGGCAAAGGGCTGGGGGCATGTGAGAGGGGTGCAGGTGTCAGGGCATGGAGTGTAAGGGGCCTGGGTATGTGTGGGGGTGCCAAAATCAGGGCTGGGGTCATGGGGGGGATGTGAAGGAGTCAAGCAGAGGGCTGGGTGTGTGTGAGGGGGGGTACAGGGCTCAGGGCAAGGGTCTGGGGTGTGTGCGGGGCACAGGGCTCAGGGCACGGCCTGGGGAGTGTGTGGGGCTACAGGTCTCAGGGCAGAGGGCTGGGTGTGTGTGAGGGGGGTTCAGGCAGAGGGCTGGGTGTGTGTGAGGGGGGCGCAGGGTTCAGGGTATGGGCCTGGGGTGTGTGCAGGGCTGCAGGGCTCAGGGCAGAGGGCTGGGTGTGTGTGAGGGGGGGGGGTCAGGGCAGAGGGCTAGGGGTGTGGGCTGGGGTCGTGGGGTGCTCATGGCAGGGGGCTGGAGGGGATATGCCCCTATTCCACCACCACCCCTTCCCCAAGGCCCTGCCCCCGCTTCTTCTCTGCCTCACCGGGAGCAGTGAGCATGCTGACTCCACTCCTCCCCCACCCCCTCCCTCGCAAGGGCCATCAGCTGATCGGCCGGCAGGGAGGGAGGGACGGAGAGGAGGAGGAGGTGCAGGAATCCAGCACACTGCAGGAAGAGGCAGGGGAGCTGGCAGGACCAAGCTTCTGCCTCCTGCCCCTTGCCCCCTGTCGCCGCGGGAGGGGGCAGAGGGCGGAGAAGAGTGGGCCAAGCTGGGCTGGGCAGGATTTTTAATGGCACGCTGCTGCCTGCCAGGACTCCGTCAGGCAGCAGCATGCCATTAAAAATCGGCTCGCGTGCTGTCTTTGGCAAATTATTTTTTTACCCTAATTTTAACAGGTCAATCGATACACTTAACTGAAAAATTATATTTCGGCCAACATATTTTTATTTTATATTTTGCTTGTAAAAAGAATCTGTTGGTTATACTGTTAAAAGCAGGGTCAAAATGCTTGTTTCTTGAGTAAATGACTAGAAGTTCAGTTTTCTTACAAAATAAATGGTGCCAAGATATTATACTTGCCTTTTCACACTTTGTAAAATTGGTTCAGCAGGTTTTTTGTTAGTTGTTTTTAATCCAAAGTATGCTTAATAAACAATTTTGGAGACACCAAGATAATGTATATCATCTAGGTAAAGTCATAAAGCAACATTCATATAGAGTCATGGCCAATTTTGTTTTTAAGGAATTCAAATTAAAACCCCAAAAGGGAAATGTGGAAAATACATATGTTCCATTTTAACCCATGTTTTATGTATGTATGTATTGCTTAGTTCAATCTACTGTTGTTCTTAATTTTGCCACCTAATAGAACTGCAGACTAGGAATTATTAGTCCATCTTTGTCTCTAGACTTAAGGATATTTTTAACTCTGAGGTTTTCCACTCCACATAAGGCCCCAATCATCCATCAGGACAGGATATTGCAGATGCTTGCACTATCCCATTGATTTCAGTGAGACACAGCACAGCTACTGAGGTCCAGGTTGATGCAGGAGCAGAATCATAATGAGTTAAATCACAGTTTGATAGGTGGTAAGGATTTTATCTAGAATTACTTGGGTAGTGTCTGGAAAAGATAAAGACAGCTGCCCAAATCAGGAAATGTAGAACTTTTCCTTCTCATTTAATCCATAGTCACTTTTGATAGAATCTGATAGGAACTACTTTTCTCATTCAGATTTCCTAAATTGGAATTAGGTGTGGGTGTACTTACTTTTTATTTAACCATCTTGAATTCATATTTTATTATCAGGTATCTTTGCCTTTCTTGTTACTAGTTGTCTCAATGTCTGAAGTGCTTGATATTAATTATAAGGCCTAAGATTTATTGATCTGCATTATTTTAGCATGTGTGTTTTGTGTCTCAGCAATTACAGCATTCTTTTTCCTCTTAAACCCAATATTTCTGAACTATTTGAGATTTTGAGCAAAATTTTCTACAAAAAATAGTTTAAATTAAAAGATGTGGGAGGCACAGGGAAGCAGCAGACACCTTTGTGGCTCTGTCTGGTTAAACTAAGTTTGGCAATATTTTCACTTTTGCAAGAGCAGCTGGAAATTAAAGAGGTGGGAATCAGGAATGGATGATCTCACCTTTCCTCTACTGCATAGCTCAGTTACTCTGCAACTCCTCTAGAATGGCAAACACACCAGCTCCTCCTCATATCCACCTCAGACAGACCTTCTTCTCTTCTGACTTGAGTTGTGGGGAAGAGAAGAAAATCATGCCTCGCTCACATTTCCGAGACAAAGTTCTTCCCCAACTTCTCTGGCACCAAACCATCCTCTCCCTTGGAAACAAATTGCTGTGCCATCTCTAGCAGCAATATCAACCCTCACATATACTTGTATCTCTAGAGGCAAACATATGCCCAATTTATTCCCACTGCCCCCTTTTAATTGAATAACCTGACCCTATCCTTTGAGAAAAAAGAGTTGGGATTGTAGGAGAAAATGGAAAATAAAAAAAAGTTACTTTGGGATGGAAATCATAGTCCCCATGTTCTTTCTTTGGGGAGAAACTGACAACATGAAAAAGAAAAACAAGGGCCCAATACAGAAATAAATATTGATGGGCAAGGACAGATACAGAACAATTAACACTGATGAGAATAATACTGACATAAGCATACTATACAGTGTAAATCTATCCTTAAAAAACAGAGGAAAGGATTCACCAAAATGCAGCAGAAGACAAAGGAAAAATAGAAAGTGGGGAGAAAAAGTAAAGTGAAGAATTAAATCAGTAAGGCCCAGATCCCAAAGGTATTTAGGGTCCTAACTTTCTAATGATCAGAGCCTAATTCTTTAAAATTGTATTAATTTACAGCAAGCCTAATGCCCAAATGCCTACAAGTCATGCCTGATCCCAGTTCTATAAGAGACACCCAGGAATCTGGCAAGCTGAGGGGAACGGAGTTGGGGTTTTTTGGGGGGGGTGGGTGTCTTCAAAGAGAATTATTGGCTAGGCTATTTGTGCCTCCCACTGTGCCAGCCCATCTCCTGCGGTGTTCTGCTCCCCGCCCCCACATCTCAAAGAGATTGTCTAGGTGGCTAGTCTAGAGCAGGAGCGTCCACACGACGGTGGGAGATCCGGACGGCTTACTCCGGAGTAGCTATCAGGAACAGCGCCGAGGCCCGCCAAACCCTAACTACGCTGTAGGCCTGGCTGTCAGTGTCACCCTCCTGGGACTTCCCCTTCCCGGCACAACCCATCGCGACCACACGGGCACCAGTCACTAGCCCGCCCCGTCCGTTCGCCACCCAGCGCTAATCCGGGCAAATCGTGTCCCAGGGCGCCCGGCCGAGTAGGGCAGAGGCGAGGACAGGCGGCCTAGCGGGAGCAGCAGGAGAGGGGGGAGATTGGGGGCAGGCATGCGGGGGGGGCGGTGCAGCAGACACAGGCCGATCAGGACCCAGGCGCGCTACCCGGGTGGGTTTGTCTCGTATCCGCGCGCAGACGCGGTATCCTGGAGCCCAGCTACGGGGGCCGCACTGACTCCGGGAGCCCATAGCCGGGAGCGCGGTGAAGAGGCCATCCGAGAACACCCCTGCCCCGCACGCGCCGTGTTACCAGCCTCCGGGCCCCGCCCCCTCCTCTTCAGCCGGCTTCCTCCCAGTCTGACAGCCGCCGCCGGCGCAGAATCCGCGGCGTCCCGGGTTGTCATGAGAACGAAAAACATCACTGCGTTCCTCCGCCCGCCATTGGTTAGCATTGTTCGAGAAAGCCGGAGGGAGCGGAAGCGGAAGCCGCACGTGGAGCCGGCAAGGGGCTGCCGCAGTTTCTGGAAACTTCTCCTCGCTGTCATATTTAAAGCGGCGGCGCCGGCTCCCCCGCCCGCGGCCAGAGGCAGCGACACAGCAGCGGAGCCAGCGCTCTGCGGCGGAGCCGTGCGGGGAGAGGCTCGCGCGGGCGGGACCATGTCCGTGGTGGGGTTCGACCTGGGCTCGCAGAGCTGCTACATCGCGGTGGCCCGGGCCGGGGGCATCGAGACCGTCGCCAACGAGTTCAGCGACAGATGCACCCCGTGAGTGCGGGGGCTGCTCGGCTGAGCCTGGGCTGGGGGCCTGCCCGGGCCCCGAGGGGCGTCGGGCTGTCTCGCCCGGCGCGGGGGCTACGGCCCCTTCACGCGCCGCGTGGGTGCCCGGGGAGCCGGGCGTGGTATCGCGGGGCCGATGCTGCAGTTCCTGGCCCCGGCCCCCGTGTGGCCCCGGGGCGGGGGAGGGTGAGTGCTGCTGCCGGGGCGGGGATGCTGAAGCGGCTCCTGCCGCTGGGGGCGGGGGGCTCGCTGCGCCGTGAGTTGGAACTTGCTGGAAGCTCCCAGCGCAGCCCCCCCTCCCCCCCGCGCGGCTGCGTTACTCCCGCGCCTCCTCAGCCCCGCGCGCCGGCTGGGGCGGGGGTCCCGCGCCTGTAAAAGCCCCTACAGGGCGCTGGGCTGCCCGCTGCCTCCCCGCGGTGGGGTCAGCGCCCTCTGAGTAAAGCTGCCCTGAAGGGCGCAGCCTTCCAGTCCCGGGAGACGGGGCGCGGGTGTATCGTGACTGGGGCACGGGGCTGCCCTGACATGGACCCGTCAGGCCCCGGCACTTGGAGAAGCGGGGATCGGGAAGCGGCGGCTGGAGAAGCGGGGAATAGAAACAGGCGTAGGTAACGTGCACAGCTCTGTAATCTTCAGAGGCTTCCCATTTAAAATCTGAACAATAATGCTGTATTGTGATCGGAAACGAAATAGACAACTTTCCGCCCTTCGCGGGGCGGGGGGGAGAGTGTTCACACAGCAAAGGCAAAGCAGATGCACTAACATTTGAAAGAACTGGGTCTACACATTGAGAATGTAATTATAGCTAAATTAAAATACTTGCCATGCAATGTGTGTATGTTTAGCCACATTGTAGGATTAGAAAAGATTCTCACTGACTATTAACTTGCTCACACTGCACATATATTTATGCATATACTCTGGTAGTAGCCTTTGTTACCAGGAAGGCTCTTATATGCATTTTGGGAGAAGTTATATTTGAATTAGAATTATTAATTTCCTGATGCATGGTTTAATTTGCAGCTTTTCTTTAATATAGTCTTTGGGCTTTAATTTCCTGTTAAAAGGGGATGAAGAAACTTTGTAGCTGTGGCATTGAAGATATGCAGTCTCTCTTGTTCAAGCTCTTGGTATAGCAGGCTATTAAACAACTTAAAGCTTTATTGCACATAAATTGATTTTGTAATTGCTCAGCTTTACAATGAAGAAAATTCTAATCCACATTGAAACAGTTTTTTTGTTTGTTTGTTTTTTGTTTTACTCAGTGCTACATGTGAACTCAGAAGTTCAGCTATTCATAGATTAGCCACACACAAAAAATGACGATTTAAAAAAAATTGTGACCCAAGCATCTGTTTCTTTTCATATAGATAACTTGGTTGAAATTTTTTCTTGAAATTGTACAGAACAATTTACCCTTGGGCTAAGACTAAGTACAGAAAGTTTCAACTCCAAAGCATATGTTGTAACTTTACAAACATGCTTTGGAGCTGAAACTTTCTGTGCATGTGCGTGAAAATAAAAACATGCAATATCTGATAGAGAAAAGTATGTGGCTTGGAGAGAGAGATTGTGAATTAGTTTTTTTTAAATGCTGTGAATTAGCATAAGCCACAAGAGTAGCAATATAACTTGCCTAAACTCTCAAATTCTGTTTGCAATAGCGATAAATAAAGCTGCTATAGCTCTTGGCAATATTGGCAATAAAATAAAATACTGAATTAACAAGCGCCTCTGTCTTTTCAGATCAGTTGTATCATTTGGATCCAAAAACAGAGCTATTGGTGTTTCAGCTAAAAACCAGGTAGGTTGTCTTCTATGAAAGAGAATCCAACTACTAGTAAAATTAATAACATAAATCTGTTTCAAATAAGGGAACAAATGGAAATGATAAAAGTCTGTCATCTTAATTGTCAGGTAGCATTTCAAAATCCAAGAACTGAATTATTCTGACAGTCTCATGTCCAGGTTTGCTGCTGAGGATGCCATGTGCTGGGTTAATAAGTTCCAGTTAGATGCCTGCCTTATTTGATCATTTTAAAAATAAAATCACCAGAACACACTCTTACTTAGGAAATTTCTTTGCATTAGAAATGCATCTTCACAAATTATGTAGAATGTGTATATAAGTCATTAAACTGAAATGTGAACTAAGAGCTTTGGCCTTTGCTTGAATGAACTACTCTGAAAAGAGAAAGTGTTAAATATTTTCTCTTATTCACTGCAGTAATACATTTTTTTAAAAAGCGCTAAAACATTAATACGTTTTTTAAAATAACCATGTACAATGTTTAAAACTTCAGATATCAACATCTAAAAGCCATGTTTTGGGCTGATTATATCCTAAAATAGGACTAGCTTACTGCAGGTGCAGACCAAGCATGCTCCCTCTACTGGCCTATTCATATCTGTCAAGGTGCAAAGGTGCTGTGATAGGTTTCCATGGAGAGAGCATCAACTGTGAAAGTCTTCCATTTAACTATGAAGAAACAGGGAGATCTGATTGAAAATATAGGAGTGATCATAAGATACACATACATTTGCAATTACAAGATTCAAAGACAGAAGCTAACAAACTGCAAAACTCTCTATGCAAATCATTTTTTCATTCATTCCTAGGAATGGGAATGTAATTAAAACAGATATCCACATAAAACATTGTGGAACAAATATTTCATTAGAGTTTTAACTTTGTGATCTTTTTTTTATCAGGATTTGGAAGTTTCCTTTTGTACCACTGCTTTTATTTTTATTTCTTCAGACTATATTTCCATGTCACTGATTCAGATGTTAACATAATTCAATGAAGTAATGAGAAAAAGTAAAGGAGTCTTCAGAGCATTTGTTGTCTTAAATAAATGGCTTCTATCTGGATTCTCAAGAGACTAATGTGGGGAGTGTTACTAAGAGATCATTCAATTAAAAGCTGTCCAGCAGCTTTAGCTAAATTGAAAGCTTCTCTCTCAACTTACATTTGAGAACATGCATTCACAACAGACTTTTGTTCTTGGACAGTTTGTGGCTTCAGTCGCTTTTGGAATAGCTTCAAAAGGGTACTACATATTCAGTTTTTCATGCTTTTTTTGTTTTAACAGTTTGAAAACAAAATTTACCAATTTTTTCCATTTGACAAACACTTAAAAATGCGACCCGATATAACACGAATTTGGATATAACGTGGTAAAGCAGTGCTCTGGGGGGGGGGAAGCTGCGCACTCCTGTGGATCAAAGCAAGTTTGATATAACGCGGTTTCAGCTATAACGTGGTAAGATTTTTTGGCTCCCGAGGGCAGCGTTATATCGCGGTAGAGGTGTACATTTTAATAGTGAACAGGCTCTTTTCCTGACAGCAGTGGAATTTTAGGTCGTGTTCTTGGCCCATGACAGTCTGGGCTTTGCATTTTCACTAACAAGGGAGTGTAACAGCCATTTGTTCAAGCAGGAGAACTATATACCTGAATTGTTCTGGGTTTTTAGCAAGTAATCATCTTAATTTAACTTTGACATGGTTTTTTACTTAACAGCAACTTAAATTTCAATTTTTCTGCATTCTCAATCAAATGCTAGACAACTTTGCGAATAATTAATCACTTCATGCTGGTCTTTCACTGTTAACTCACTAAAACATATTGCAAGTTTCAGAAGAATACCATGCTGTAGTAGCACTGTTTAAGTGTGGCATGCTAACTGGCTTGCTGCTGCTTAATTGTGGCCAAAACCGCAGGAATATTCTCAAATATCCTACAGTATTAATGGCATGTGATTACTTTAAAAAAGTCTCTTCATTGGTACATACAGTTATCTCGATAACCTGAAAATTAAAGATTTTTTTTAAACTCTAAATCAGTTCATTAAAAGCCACTAAAGTTTTTTGCACTTGTTGCCCATTGCATACTAAATTACTTTTGCTGTTTAAGTGCTTCCAACTTGAGTGACCATAGAGCTACGCTTTTAAATAGATGTCAAGTACCCTTCCTGGTGAGGTTTGTTGTAGTTAATTTTATGCTTCCAAGTCCCTTGTTTTCCTCTGTGTTGGGGTGACAAAACAAAACAAGTCTCCGTCAATATGTTGATCCCTGGAAACCTTTAGATTTGTTGGTATTTGCTGGGTACTGTAAGTCATCAGTAGTTGGTAGAGAACAAAAGGCTTTTAACAAGAGCAATAAAAATAGTTTAAACTGATACACAGACTGGGGTGTAGAGTTTCTGTATTGTAACAGCTTGAGACTTTAAACTGTAAACTCTGTAATACAATGCTCATTCACCTCTTATGCCAGCATATTTCTGTATAAAACTACAGTCCTACATAATTTAATATTAGAGAAAAGAGGTCAGATGTCAAGTCTCTGGCCAGTAAACCTGACTGGTTTAGGAACAGAGGCTAGCAATCTGACACTGCCGTTCTTTTACTAATATGCAGGTTAAGTGTTGCATTCAAGATGCCTTCTTTTTCTTTCTTGCAGCAAATTACTCATGCTAACAACACAGTATCTAACTTCAAGAGATTCCATGGCCGTGCATTTAATGATCCTTTTATTCAGAAGGAGAAAGAAAGTTTGAGTTATGATTTGGTTCCAATGAAAAACGGTGGAGTTGGAATAAAGGTAAGAGTGTCATATTTGCAGTCTAGCTTTCTAGTTTCTATAGCTATGTTGGAAAGGTTTGTTTTCTAGCACTTAATTAAAATCTCTTATTTTCATGATTAATTCCCATAAAAGCTATTCTTCACCTCTGTACCAGAAGGGCTTTTGAACTGATGAATAGCTTTTTTTACTCCAGAGTGGAGTCAGGCTTTCGTTATAAATACTTCCTCATAGAAGAGCTTCCCTGGTGGCAATTGTGCACACAGTCTACACATTCTGGCAGAAAAACTATTAAAATAATTA